TTTTCTGTTTATTATATAGTCCAAAGCAAAAAATTGTATAAATACTAAAAGTCACGTGATCAATATCTTCATTAGTGAAGTCTGTGAAGATATGGAAAATATCTCACACTGTGTATTTTTCAGTATCTCACTCTCTACTATATAAGAAATAGTTTTATTGAGTCATTATAACACTAGTATGGGTTCCCTATAGTATAAAAACACACGTATGTTTTTCGGGCCCATGCAACTAACATTTTTTTTTCCAATTTTCAGGTAAGCCAATTAACATTCTTCGCTATTAACATTGGTATTCACCGATAAAGGTAAAAGACATTTATCATAAAAAACATACTAGAAAATACATGCATGCAGAAACCCTCGCCTTGCTGACAAAACCATTGTATTTTCCCAACATGAAGTATCTAAAGTAGTTGTCATGGTAACACGGTAATTTTTTAAGAATATTCTTAATATAAATGAAAAATCGCCTAAAAATATCACTTTTAATTACAAAATTATTAATTTCCCAACATATATATGTTAGGCATGTTATTATACGTAATATAAGCCTCAATTTAAGGTAAAATTCAACCACAAACGCTTCCAAAACGTTTTCAAAGTCACTATAGAGTTATAAAACTAAACTGCCTTTTAAAATGGCTTTATCGATAAACTTTGAGTTTGCAAATAACTTTGCTTTCTTTTTTATTTAAAAAATTCAATATCATAAGAAAGGAATCAATATTAAAGATACACTGAAATTATATGCTGTTTTATTTAGTTGTTTCATATATGCAAAGCCAAAGGCCGTCTGGTTTTAAATCCATTTATATAAATCAATATTTAAAACAAACTTACCTTCGGCTTCGTTAACGTCGGCTCCCTTCTTTTAGCCGATTCTTTCGCAGTTTCTTCCTCAGAGAGCTTTTGAAATTTACAAAATCTTGCAAAAATGCGAGCAAAATGAAATATATTTGCAAGAAATTTATCAATCACCAAATCAAGAAATGCTTGCTATTTCGCTGTCGTCATGCAGTCGTTATAATGCAAATTTTAAATTGGACCAATCAGTGTTGGCTATTCATGACAGTCCGCTATATTATGAGATCAGTGAGAATGACCACCCACCGAAACTTCGTTGGTGACCCACGCCCGCGATAATTGATGAACTTTAGACTCCGCTAATGCTTTCGTTTCCCCGGGTGTAAATAGCCGGGGGGAATTAGTACCCTCGCACGGCGCTTCGCGCCGTCGGCTCGGGGATGACTCACGTTTTAGGAATAGTGGATTTGCGTTGGCTTTCTGTTGGCCCAACAAAACCCAACAACACTATAGTTCCAGGTTATTTACCTATCGCACGAAAATATGCAAAGTGATCATTAATTAATTGTATTTTCATGTGTTTGTCTAATATTTTCCAAAGGAAAAATGTATAGAAAAGAAGTCTAGACTTTGTCAGTAATCTACAATTGAGAGTGACTGAGTCCTGAGGTGAGTTGTGATATTCGAAGTGATGATGTTCGTTATGCATGAACATAGGAACGAATATACAGCATATAAAGTCATGTTGCACGCAAATATTACGTACATAAACATGTTATCAACCAGAGCACCACTTACCACGATATCGGATAATCTATTGTCTTTAATTATCATTCAAACTAAAAACGAAACTATAAGTCATAACTTAAACGTACAAAATATATAATTTGTTATATCAAAGTATAAATGACCATGGATATTTTTGCTACAACTATTATTGTATTACATGTCATAAAGCTTGAAAAATTACTTGAGTAGATTGATCCAAAACATACCAAACTGTTCCCACTTTTATTGGAATTTGCTTAAAGGTAGATTACAATCCTTCTGGGGACTGTAGGTTACAGTCCCTTCCTGGGGACTCCACCGAGAGTTGGCATCTCGGTTTATGCTCGGTCCAGTCTCATTTCTGGCAATACTGACATGCGCGGTTGCGTTTATCGCAAGCTAATTTATTAGCCTATGTGTGAAAAAATTTCGAATATATTTTGAGCCTTTCTGACCGACCATTCTTGCAAATAACGAGTTATTAAGGCAACATGACGGGTAGGAAAGAATACTACGCTGGCTGGGATACTTCCAAAGTGTATTTATTTTATTGTTTTCCTCGATGGAGCGCGTGCAGTTTCTGCGTTTCCCCATGTGCCATATCATGATATATCTGCATCTCTAAGTTACTAAATGTTTTCAAGAAAAGAATCCAAGAAGGATTGGAGATTGCTCCCAACATAGCTGTTATTCACCCTTCACTGTGAATTCAGCGATAAAGGTAAAGGCGATATACTGAGGAGCACTCATGGACGAAGGTCATGCACTTTTGAGCTCCGATAATATAGATTTTGAATTGGCTGATAAGACCTCAACTAATGTTGTAGATCAAGTAAAATACATAAATAGTACGTCAAGGTATCTTGTTGTAAATGACAAGAAAAAATTCAAATGGATAGGCCCTTTTGCAGGTCTCAAAAATTTGATGAACGAATTGACCGGCAAAGAAACAAAATGGTCGTCTCCCGGCGGCTAGTATAAGTTGCTTGAGCTGAATGAAGTTGTTGTACGATGATATTCAGATAGTAACAATTAATGGGAAGTTGTGTGATGAGTTTAACCCTTTAAGATGGTCTGGGACAATATTTTTGTGAAAAAGTCAAATTTTCGAAACAACCATATTATACATTATTGATCATTGCTTTTTCATTTCCCGGCGTTAATTTTTTGATTTGCGCGAAGAAAACGGGAAAATATTGAAAAGTATATCATTGTTTATAGTTTTGGTCCTTAGCAACCACCATAGCAACGAGATTCTGTTGGAAAATCCATCCCATTGGTTCATTTAAATTTGCATATTTTACTCAGAATAAATCCCTGGCCTCCCCTCCCTATCTGTACTTTGTTTTGCTACTCTTTTATTGCATGTTACACCAAGTATTTGCCTGTATATTCAACACAAATTCCCAATATCATCTTCGGCGGCCATCTTTAAACAGCAATTTTTGAAAGCTTCTTTACACGATTATTTTACAAGTCATTCTGTTTACAAAATGGCAAGATCATGAAGAAAGAAAAGTAGATTTCAAGGGAATCAACATGCCGTGTACAAGCGGGGAAAACTAAGCCAAAATTCCCTTCAAAAATTGAATCAAAATCGAAGTACACCATCCAGTCGTGTTCAAGATGATCGCAGTCGTCCTCGGCAAGGAAAATTAGTGAAATTTGTGATACTTTAGTGTCTACAGTGAACGAAAATAAAGTAAGTGGCTATCGTTTTACTGATATTTGCGAACCTGTGCTCCATATTGCAAATGTTGGCTATGTTGCCATAATGCCATCAAACTGACATTGATGGATGACAGTTTAAAACGAATGGGTTGTGCTTAATGTCTCTCTCTCACATGTAAGTCGTATGGATGGACTGAAACATTTTATACTTCAGAGAGGGATGGCTATTTTGTACATAAATCGAAGAATGGTATATGCAATGAGGTCAATTGATCGTGGACAATCTTCAATGGCTCGGTTCTGTTCTACCATGAACATGCCGCCACCGGTTGGCTCACAGCCATTTAGGTAGCACAGTAGCGCACGAAAGCGATACTGCGGGCTGCAAATGATGTTGCTGAACAAACAATAAAGGATGCAGCACAGAAATCTACAACTCCAAGACTGAGGACGGTGAAGACATTTTGCAAACTGCTGTTTCATGCGATGGAACATGGCAAAGAAGAGGATTTACCTCATTGCATGGATGCGTAACCGTCATTTCCATGGAAAATGGACAAATGTTGGATGTAGAACCTTTGAGCAAGGTCTGCAAAGCATGCAAGAAGCAACTATTGAAGTCTTCAAAGCCCTTGGTCATAAATCCAAGAGCTTTTTGTGTTGCTGGAGTAAGGGAAGCCGATCGACTTTGTGTTACGAAATCTAACTACAAGGCGGAGGAGAAGAATGAAGTGCAGAGAAAGGTCATCATAGTTGAGACCGAGCACGAGTAGCTACTGAATTTGGATTTAAATTGCCAATGTGTTTGGCGTATATGAGTCGTGCATCTCGCAATGCTAGATTGCTTGAGACCGAGCACGAGTAGCTACTGAATTTGGATTTAAATTGCCAATGTGTTTGGCATATATGAGACGTGCATCTCGCAATGCTAGATTGCTTGAGACCGAGCACGAGTAGCTACTGAATTTGGATTTAAATTGCCAATGTGTCAGTTTGGCGTATATGAGACGCGCATCCCGCAATTCTCGATTGCTTGAGCCGAGCACGAGTAGCCACTGAATTTGGATTTAAATAAAGTTGCCAATGTGTTTGGCGTATGCGAGACGTGCATCTCGCAATGCCTGATTGCTTGAGACCGAGCACGAGTCGCTACTGAATTTGGATTTTAAACAACGTGGCTAATGTGTTTGGCGTATGAGAGAAGTGCATCTCGCAATGCCTGATTGCTTGAGACCGAGCACGAGTTTGGCTACTGCAGTTCGATTTAAGTCACAGTGGTCAATGTGTTTGGTGTGTAAGAGCAGTGCATCTCGCAATTGTATGATTGCTGGAGACCGAGCACGAATAGCTACCGAATTTGGATTTAAGGCAAATTAAGTGCCCACTGTGTTTGCCGTATAAGAGAAGTGCATCTCGCAATTTTATGATTGCTTGTGACCGAGTAAGAGTCTCTACTGACTTAGGATTGAAAGAACCGGATCAGGTGTTTCGCGTATGAGAGGATTGCATTTTATAATACATGATTGCTTGGGACCAACAATGTCAGCTATTGATTTGGAATTTGGAAATCATTTGTTAATGAGTTTGGTGCATGCGCGGGAGCGGCGTCTCGCAGTTACGGCATTTGTTTAGTGGTCCGTTGCTTATATGTTTGGGCAAGCAGAGAAATGCATCTCCCAATAGACCCAATCCATGAGTGCTTGGGATTGAGCACCAACAGCGCATGAACCACGCACGGCTTGATTCAAATTGCTCATGTTTGCAAATGCAAGAGGTGCGTCTCGCCATACATGATTGCTTGAGACCGAGCGCACGTGCTTACTGCATTTGGATTGGACAGACAAGGGCCAATGTTTTGGCGATTCAGAACAGTATACCTTCCTTGCCATACGCGAATCACCCAATTCTTGCGCAATATATGTTTTTCGAGTGGGTATGAAATTACTGATCTTGTGTTTGCGCTCGTTAGCTGGTTTTCGTTTGCGTTTCTTGGGTTCTTTATTCTTTTCTTGGCTGGTGGGGGTCAACTTTCCCAGGGCTATCTAAAGCTCTTTGTGTTCGACTCTAGCAGTTGTGCCGGGACTGTTGCCCTTTTCTGGTCCTTCCGGGGGGGAGGGGGGTGCTTTGGGGATTTACTTCTCTGTTCATCTTTTCTCTCGCCACTCGCTTAACGTCTCAAACGTTGTCAAACAGTTGTTGTTCCTGCATGGGAACCTGTTGGTAGGGCTGTTTTTCGTTTCGGTAGCAGCTTCTGAGCGTCTTACGAAGCGAGTCATTGGGTGGAAGTTTCTCCCGGGGACCAGACCTGTGGCATCAGTTCCGGGTTATTCTCTGCGTTCATTGTCGCTTGACCATGCTAGTCCACCAATTGCTTTTCCATATCCATTGCCGGTTTGTTTGCTTAATAGATTATAGTTTGGCTTGTGTGTGTGGCACAGGCGACTCGGCGGGGTTGTCGGGTATTTGAGAATGGGGGTTTGGTATATGAGAATGCGGGTTTGGGTATATGAGAATGGGGGTTTGGTTATATGAGAATGGGGATTTGGTAGATGAAAATGGGGGTTTGGGTATATGAGAATGGGGGTTTGGGTATATTGGGGAGATGTATTGTTGGGAGCGAGTAGTAACTGAACTGCGGAGGAATTCATTTCCGTGCTTCATTTGGAAACAATGGACCTTCCTTTTCCCCAATGCTTAATCAGTGATCCGTGGCGGGATGGCCATTTGGATATTTTACTATTCAAATTGGCCAAACGCGCCACGGAAGCTGATTAACTAATGGAATTTGAGTAATTAATGTTGTTTTATGAATAAATAATGATGTACAATGCATAAAACCCTAGTTTACACGTTGTAACTGCTCTTTCTGTGCTGATCGCCAAGACAGAGAAAGTGAAAGATAAAGAAATTAGGACCGGAGAAGGGGGGGGGGGCGAGAAGGAGGGGGCTGCGTCAGGGTGTTTTTTTTTACTCTTGTGTGTTTTATAAACGCCCACCCTCCCACCCTTCTGTTTCCCATCCTTGTGGCTTTCTGCTGCGGATCCATTTCCATGTTTCATTTGGAACCAATGGACCTTCCTTTTCCCCAAAGCTTAATCAGTGATCCGTGGCGGGATGGCCATTTGGATATTTTACTATTACACAGTTCTCTCTTCTCGAATAGTTATTTCTTTATTTTTTGGTTTCGAAAATATTAGATAAATACACGAAAATACACGTCAAGCACCTGGTCATGAATTATTGTAGCCATTGAAATGAATAGAACTAGAACGCTAGCTCCAACCGGAAATTTGAAGCCAAACTTGACGGCCAGTCCTAGTCTTTTCACGCATACGAAGAACGCTCAATCAGTCAATCATGATATAAACATAAAACGCGCGGGTTTGACCCCCAGATGATGGCATTGCGCCATATATTAAAATAGCCCGGAGCGAGTGTGTTGGGTTTTGTTAGGCTGTTGGGTTTTGTTGTGCTATTGGGTTTTGCTGTGCTGTTGGGTTTTGTTGGGTTTGTTGTGCTGTTGGGTTTTGTTGGGTTTGTTGTGCTGTTGGGTTTGGTTGGGTTTTGTTGGATCTGTTGTGCTGTTGGGTTTCGTTGGGTTTGTTGTGCTGTTGGGTTTGGTTGGATTTTGTTGGGTCTGTTGTGCTGTTGGGTTTTGTTGGGTCTGTTGGATTTTGTTGGGTCTGTTGGGTTTGTTGGATTTGTCGTGCTGTCGGGTTTGTTGGGTGTGTTGTGTTGTGCTGTTGGGTTTTGTTGGGTTTGTTGGATCGGTTGGGCTTGTTGGATCTGTTGGGCTGTTGGGTTTGTTGGATCCGTTGGGTTTGTTGGATTTGTTGGGTTTTGTTTGGTCTGTTGTGCTGTTGGGTTTTGTTGGGTCGTTTTGTTGGGTTTGTTGGATCTGCTGGATCTGTTGTACTGTTCAGTTTTGGTTGTTGTGTTAAGTTGTGTTGTGTTGTGTTGTGTTGTGTTGTGTTGTTTTGTGCTGTTGGGTTTTGTTGGGTTTGTTGGATCTGTTGGATTTGTTGGATCTGTTGGATTTGTTGGATCTGTTGTCCTGTTGAGTTTTGTTGGATATGTTGGATTTTCTTGGGTATGTTGTGCTATTGGGTTTTGTTGGGTTTGTTGGATCTGTTTGGTTTATTGGATCAGCTGTACTGTGCTGTTGGGTTTTATTTGGTCTGTTGTGGTGTTGGGTTTTGTTGGATCTGTTGGGTTTTGTTGGATCTGTTGGGATTTGTTGGATCTGTTGTGTTGTGTTGTGTTGTGTTGTGTTGTGTTATGTTGTGCTGCTGGGTTTTGTTGGGTTTGTTGGATCTGTTGTCCTGTTGAGTTTTGTTGGATATGTTGGATTTTCTTGGGTATGTTGTGCTATTGGGTTTTGTTGGGTTTGTTGGATCTGTTTGGTTTATTGGATCAGCTGTACTGTGCTGTTGGGTTTTATTTGGTCTGTTGTGGTGTTGGGTTTTGTTGGATCTGTTGGGTTTTGTTGGATCTGTTGGGATTTGTTGGATCTGTTGTGTTGTGTTGTGTTGTGTTGTGTTGTGTTATGTTGTGCTGCTGGGTTTTGTTGGGTTTGTTGGATCTGTTGTCCTGTTGAGTTTTGTTGGATATGTTGGATTTTCTTGGGTATGTTGTGCTATTGGGTTTTGTTGGGTTTGTTGGATCTGTTTGGTTTATTGGATCAGCTGTACTGTGCTGTTGGGTTTTATTTGGTCTGTTGTGGTGTTGGGTTTTGTTGGATCTGTTGGGTTTTGTTGGATCTGTTGGGATTTGTTGGATCTGTTGTGTTGTGTTGTGTTGTGTTGTGTTGTGTTATGTTGTGCTGCTGGGTTTTGTTGGGTTTGTTGGATCTGTTGTCCTGTTGAGTTTTGTTGGATATGTTGGATTTTCTTGGGTATGTTGTGCTATTGGGTTTTGTTGGGTTTGTTGGATCTGTTTGGTTTTGTTGGGTCTGTTGTGCTGTTGGGTTTGTTGAGTTTGTAGAATCTGTTGGGTTTGTTGCATCTGTTGGGTTTGTTGGAACTGTTGGGTTTGTTTGATCTGTTGGGTTTGTTGGGTCTGTTGGATTTGTTTCATCTGTTGGATTTGTTTGAGTCTGTTCGTACTTTGAAGTTTTCGATAGGAAGACAAGCTCAGGTTGGGGAGGGGAAGGGGTCAATTCAAAAATTTGGAGCCGCTCAAAAAAACGGGGGGCAGGGAGGTTGACGAGTATTTTCCAAAAAGAAACTGGCCATAAATTTTTTCCTAACACTAGTTTGAGATAATGGGGGGAGGGAGGGGGCTGGAGGGGGATAAAAATACTTTTTCAAACTTTCTACCTGAATTTTTCAGAAAATTCATTATTTAAAACGTTACGCAATTCTAGCATTCCGGCGCCCCCTCTGGGCAAGTTGGGCCCCCTTCCTTCAGGGCCCAACCCCTCCCCACACACCCTCTCTCCCTAGTAGTTTCAGCCCTAGGCAAGCTAACATGAAGTATTAAGTTGCCTAAGCATACGTGAATTACTTGTCATGAGATTCTGGAATAACTAATTAAGCGTTGGGTTTTGTTGGGCAAACAGAAAGCCCAACGGCAACACGCTCTTCCTAAATCGCAATAGGTAAAGTTCACATACAATTAACCCTCCATGCTCAACAGATGGAAGTAGTGTATATATTATAGACGCGTAAAAATTGATCAGGTTGTCGCACGTTGTTCATTGAACAATGGCCGAACAATGTTGTTATCATGGCTGAACAACGTTGTTCAAGCAACAATCGTTAACAACATTGTTCCAACGACTTGTTCACACTTGATGAACGAACAGTAGTTGTTGCAACATGATGGAACAAGCGTCAACAAGGTTGATGAAACACGCTTGATTTAATGTTGTCAGAACAATGTTGTTCAGCGTTGTTCATTCATCAGGCGTCAACAATATTGTTCGAACAGGCGCCACATTGATGAAAGAACAAGTTCTTTTTAACTGTTCGAACAAGCGTGAACAGCATTGTTATAAATAGACCGTAAAATAATGATTTGAAGAACAAGAAAACTTGTTTTTATTGGTTGTTTCGAAAGCGCTGGAATGCAAAACGGACGAATGCGACGAATATCACGAGAGCAAGAAATCAAACGGGCTTTTACAGCAAAATAAATGTCGTTTAAACTTTGTGGTTTTTTCTGAAGATTGAAGGGAAAATACTGAAGAAAATAACTTGTCTTGTTTTGAGGTATAAGGTTAGTTGTAAAAGCTTAAAACAACGCGACCTTTTGATTTTAGTCATTTTCATAGTACACGAAGAAATGCACACGCACGAACTTTATAGTACTTTTATATAGGCGTTGCATTTTGATATTTTTCTCGATATTTTCAGTATATATGAAACAAGAAACCACGGTCATACTGTAAAGCCGTAATATAAACAAAACATTTAATTCTCAAAATAGTGTTCAAATTTTTCAATTACACTTTAAATTTCTGTCAGAGTCTTTTTAACTTTGAAATTTGAACATATCAAAAAACCTATTATATCATATGTCCTATTGCCCGTCCCTATTGTTGTTTGTAATTTTGATCACTGCTATATATAGACAATTCCTATTGTGTTTTAACAAGGTCAACCAAATACTTGATCAGTTTACACACCAAGAATGATGTATTTACTGCATATAATATGTGATGGATAAATTATAGGTAGGTAGGTAGGTAAGAGTGCATACAGTTAAATAATCAGCCATTTCCTATATTTCCTTTTATTTCCTGGTTAAACAGGTGACTGTAATTGTCATAGAAGGTATGAAGGAGGTAGCTAAGATTTCTCACATGGCTATTGAGGATAGTTATGATCATAATTATGCCCAAATGTAATTATTGTCTCATTTTTATCCTTTTTGTAGTGTAAAGTATAAAAATAAAGATCTATGAATATGTACAATGGGAGATCACTTGGTAAGTAATTTTTATACCTTTGTTGTGGTCTGTGTAGATTGAGGCTAATTTGGCAATAGCCATGCACTTAGACATAGCATGACCAATCCATATGTGGACTGCCTTTGTCTATTAAACATGATTGAATACCCAAATTAGATTCAAGATTATGATATGTCCCAGGCATGGATCCAAAAATGACCATGTACTGAAGTTATATGTTATGACCCATATAAAATATGGTGGAGAAAAAAAATTGGTGCTGCATCCCAAACCCCGACCCCGAGGATAGGGCGGGGGAAATTAACATTTTGACAATGCATATGTTAAATTTTGGTAATTTCCCCGCTACAGAGTGAATATTGACTGTTAAAGTTACCGCCCCTGTGGCCTTGGCACTTTACAAATTTTCATGACTTGGGAATTGTCCTGGCTAATAAATTGGCTTGTTATTTACCTTGTACCCCGTTGGAAATGCTACATTAAGACTGTGTTAATCCACTGCCATTCCCCCGTTAATTCCCCACCCTGTCCCGCGGGGGTCGGGCGACTGGGGTTTCAATTGACTAGTGTATAAACATTGCAAAGGTCCATTTTGTAAATTAATAGCACTATATGTATTTAATCTTAATTTATAGGGCCTGTGAGTTCATATCTGGAATAAAATAATGGCAGATCTACAGAAATATCACTGCCAGGGAGTGTCAAACAAGTTCAAGAGGACTGAAACTGGATGTTCTCAGAATAAAAAAGAAATTGTTGACTAGCTTTAATTGAATTATCATTATCAATAATGTAAGGTTAAAAATATTGAACTTTCAAAAGGATGCAGACAGAAAATTGATACTCTGATGCAGTTGATGCAGTTGGTTTGCTAATACATTGTTTACTGTGTATAAGGTTTGCTATTTGAGTGATCCAGGAATGGGGGTTGGTCCT